GTTCTTTGGTCAAGCAGGAGACTTGATTTTATACCTAATATATTCACTTCAAACCACCAGTCTTATCCGTTCAGTTTCAACTCCAAAAAAGTTTGGTTTGTTTGTAATTTGGTTTTCGACATATGGGACACAAGACCAACAGCGCTGAGGGTCATTTTCTTCGCATTCAGTCCAAAACAACCACACCGAGGGAAGTTGTTCTTGGAAAAATCGTGTCCAGCGGCTTGATATACGTCTAAGTGGAAACCTTGGATCTAAGAGAACAAGCAGCGGAATGGAAACATCATGCCCTAGTGGCTTGCTGTGTGTGAGAAACCCTGAATCAAAGGGAAAAGCAGGGGGCCCGTGGACGCATAGATGGCACGGGCCAACGAAGACCCATCTATGTCGTCGTGAAAACGTACCTTCATCCGAAATGGCAAGGTGGCCAAGCCAAAAACCACCCATGCCGACATGCCATGACATGACATGACATGACATGCTAATGTAACAACACGACATGACGGTTATCATTTCATCTCATTTCACCCTCTCCATTATGGAGTTTACCAAAGTGTGTGGGGACACCTTGCGTCAAAAGAATAATTTGGACAAAGCAAATGATTTCAGAGCGTGTTTTCGCAAAATTGCGAAAAGCAAAGGCTCATGGGGACTTGGATGGCATGGGCCAAGGAAGACCCATCCAAGTTGCTGTGAAAATGTACCTGCTGTGTTGTGGTGTCCACATTCTGTTCAAGATGTTGATCGGACATGGTAAGGTGGCTAGGCCAAAAACCACCCATGCCGCCATTACATTACATGACATCACTTTACACAACAACAAAACATCATTTCAACTCATATCATCCTCTCCCTTGGGGGAATCGGAGGATATGTATGTATGTATGTATGTATGCATGCATGCATGTATGTATGTAGGTATGTAGGTATGTAGGTATGTAGGTATGTAGGTATGAAGGTATGTATGTATGTATGTATGTATGGATGGATGGATGGATGGATGGATGTATGGATGTATGCATGTATGCATGTATGCATGTATGCATGTATGCATGTATGCATGTATGTGTGTATGTGTGTATGTGTGTATGTGTGTATGTGTGTATGTGTGTATGTATGTATGTATGTATGTATGTATGTATGTATGTATGTGTGTATATATGTATGTATGTATGTATGTATGTGTGTATGTGTGTGTATGTGTGTATGTGTGTATGTGTGTATGTGTGTATGTATGTATGTATGTATGTAGGTATGTAGGTATGTAGGTATGTAGGTATGTAGGTATGTAGGTATGTAGGTATGTAGGTATGTAGGTATGTATGTATGTAGGTATGTAGGTATGTAGGTATGTAGGTATGTAGGTATGTATGTAGGTAGGTATGTAGTATGTAGGTATGTAGGTATGTAGGTATGTAGGTATGTAGTATGTATGTATGTATGTATGCATGCATGCATGCATGCATGTATGTATGTATGTATGATGGAGGGTGGATGGATGTATATATGTATATATGTATAATTCAATATTTGTTTATATGTATATGTGTATATGTATGTATATATGTATATATGTATATATATATGTGTATATATGTATATATGTATATATGTATATATGTATATATGTATATATGTATCTGTATATATGTATATATGTATATATGTATATATGTATATATGTATACTGTAAAAATGCATAAATGTATGTATGTATGTATGTATGGATGGATGGATGGATGGATGGATGGATGTATGTGTGTCTGTATGTTTCTATGTCTGTATGTCTGTATGCATGTATGTATGTATGTATGTATGTATGGTGATTTTCAAACACTTCTCATCCATGCCGAACCATGTGAGCCATCAACTGTCTCGCCGTCCGTTCGCCCATCCTTTTATCTTCAACATCTATCCACCAACAGAGGTGGGTGGGTGAGGATTGAGCCACAGGCATTGCTACGGAAAAGCCAGGGGCTGGTGAGTGTTTGGGACAACACAGGCAGGAGGCACGGGGTGCTTCATTGGTATAGGGTAGGAATCCTACGGTAGGAATCTCCCCAGTAGATTCGCATTGGTAGGCGGAGCTTTGGGCTGCCGCAAGGTTCTAGGTTAGTGGGGTCACTGACAGGCCTAGGACAACTTGCTTCACCGTAGGTCGTTTGGCCATGGAAGGTGAAGCTGCGCAAGCGGTGGGATCTGGGGGTTATCCAAGGTCGGTGCCGTGGAACCAGATCTCCAAATTCATGCCGGGCGAGACCGATGTCAAGGTCTATGGAAGTTGCGGAGACTGTACGCTTAAAGTTATGTGGGTTTACAAATTTATATGAATTATAACTATAACGTGCTTCTAAACCCTCTATAACGTCTTTATAACCTGCTTGCAAGCATGTAAAGTTTCATAACTTTTTACAAGTAAGTTATAACTTCAGGTAACCGGCTAGGTGAAGTTGTAAATGTTTAGGTAGGATATAAGTTCGTAACGAACTTATCGGAAGCATCTTATCTAAAGATAACTTTTCATAACTATGTTAAGAGACTTAACATAAGTTCTTAGCAAAAGTTATCATAAGTTACAGAAAGTTATAAAAAGTTAGAAAAAGTTACAAAATGGAATTTATGCAGTATGTTTAGATGGCTTGAGTAATGTTTCCCGGAAAAAGATAGTTGCAAAGATGCTTTCCCGGAAAGGTTATGGTTCCCAAGAATAAGTTTTTTAAACGACTGAAGTGTGAATAGAAAGTTCCTGTGTGTGAAGAATTTGATCTGTAAAGGTAGTTCCTGTAAAGGATACGGTCTGCAAAGACAGTTCCTGTAAAGGATAAGGTTTGCAAAGACAGTTTCTGCAAAGGATATGGTTTCTGAGGACAGTTCCTGCAAAGGATCGGTTCTGCAAAGATACTTCCTGAAAAGGATATGTCTCTGAAGACAGTTCTTGCAAGGGGTCTTGCGCTCTGTGTTTTGATATGGACACATCGTGGCATGTGATATAGCTGATTTGCTCAAAACGATAGCTCGCGGTGTCCATTGGCGATCGAAAATGTCAACGGATTCCTTTATGTTGGCACTTGCCGCTGCTGCCTCGCCTTTGCTACAAGACCATGATTGCTTCAAATTGTTTTTAGTATATTTTGCGTGTTGTGAGTTCCAAGTCCTTAGATTAAAAAACAGCCAAAAAAAGAGCTACGAGTGCCCCAAACTTTTTTTTACATTTGAAAATCCATTGCTTGAGGCACTCCTTTATGGAACCCCTATTTTGCGTCATTTGCATTGGAGTTATCTTGCAAATTTATGGTTCATAACGCAAGCTTAAATTTGCAATGGTTCAGCCATAGTCCGGGTCTAGATACATATTGAGTTTTATTGAAATAATATCACGGTCGAAATGTGGATGGAGAGATTCTCTCTTCTTGATGTAGCTACCTTCTGGCGAGGTACAACCCCCCAGCAGTACATAAACTATGATCACAATATTTATTTCCTTACAAAAACAAAATTTTATAAGATACAAAAAACTTATCCACATAAAAAATGGCACACATAGAGCTGAAAACCCCAGAAGCACAACTTCAAAATCTAGGCAAACTATCCGAACAACTTATGTCAACACCCTTGGTGCTGAACTATGGCTGAGCTATGCAGGAACTATGCAGGAACTATGCAGGAACTATGCAGGAACTATGCTATGCAGGAACTATGCAGGAACTATACAGGAACTATGCAGGAACTATGCAGGAACTATACAGGAACTATGCAGGAACTATGGAACTATGCAGGAACTATGCAGGAACTATGCAGGAACTATGCAGGAACTATGCAGGAACTATGCAGGAACTATACAGGAACTATGCAGGAACTATACAGGAACTATGCAGGAACTATACAGGAACTATGCAGGAACTATGCAGGAACTATGCAGGAACTATGCAGGAACTATGCAGGAACTATGCAGGAACTATGCAGGAACTATGCAGGAACAATGCAGGAACAATGCAGGAACTATGCAGGAACCATACAGGAACTATGCAGGAACCATACAGGAACTATCCGGATCCTTTGCCACAGGCCTGAAAGAGAAAGCTTGAAAAAACAGATCCCGCAAGGGATAAGTTGCAAAAACTAAATCCCGAGAGGGAAAGTTTCAGTGAAACAAATCCCGAAAGGGAAAGTTTCTAACCAACAGATCCCGAGAGGGATAGTTTGAAGAAAACAGGTCCCGGAAGGGAAAGTTTGCAACAAACAGATGCCGTGAGGAATAGTTTGATGAAAGCAGTTCCCGACAGAGAAAGTTTGAAACTAACAGATACCGAAAAGAATGGTTTGAAGAATAAGAATCCCAAAACGAAACCATTTGCAACAAACAAATATAAAGGTTAAAAACTGTCAAGAATTCACATCAAATGTGAAGGTCCCTACTGAAAAGGAAAACTTCTAAACAGAACCCACATCAAGTATGATAATTCCTGAAAAAGTCATAATCTGAAAAGATTTCCTGGCAAATGCGACAGTTCGTGAAAGGGACAAAATCTGAAAGGATACCGCATCAAATGTGATAATTCCTGAAAACACAAGACTGATAAAATTTCACATCAAATATGAAAGTTCCTAGAAAATTGCAAACATGATATCCTGTATGTTGGCTGTATTAGGTTATTATTGAGCATGATCCGAAAAAACTTTGAAACCAACACTGCAAAGCCTTTAAAAGTTGTAAACAGTTATAAAAAGTTAAAAAAAAGTTATCGAAACTTACCAAAAACTTACAAATAAGTTATCCAAGTTAACATAATTTCTTTTCATATTTTTGATAAGTCATGTTAACTTCCAACATAAATTATGTAACTTCTTTATATCTAGGCTAAGTCTGTAAAGTCTTCTACCTTAAAGCGTACAGTCTCCGTAGAGTTCCTTCGAGAGCTCTGGCCGGCTGACATGTGGAGCAGTTGGCTCCCGGAGCCGCCCTCCTCGTAGAGGGGGTGGCGTTTCAAAAGGTATCGAAGATGGATCCGGCCAAGCTGAAATCAAAGGATTGTGTCCGTCATTTGGTGGAGGCGCTCGGTGGATCATGGGGAAGGCTGGCCAGTGAGGAGCGCTACGACATGTTCGAAAAGGCACTGTATCAAACAGTGCAGAAGTCAGATGAGTCGAATGACTCAAATCTGGCGCGGCATGATGCAGCGTTTGATGACCTCTTGGCGGCCAAGGTGACCATCGAAGAGGTCAGGGCATACATCCTTGTGCGACAGTCGATTCTATACAGACTGAAGACAGGAAGAATGTGATCCTGGACTGTGCGGGATCGTTGACATACGATCAAGCTAGGAAGAGTATGAGACTTCTTGGAAGTCTTCCAGGACTTGCAAGCCAACTCCAAGAGCAATGTCAAGTACAAGATCATACAAGATCTATGATGTGCACCAGACGGAGGAAGCATCATGTACCAAGAATCGCAGGAGGACATGGAGGAGGAAATCTTTCTTCAAAGTCTTCTGGAGGCTGGCGACGAGGACGCAGTCATCATCAATGATTTTGAAGAAGCCATTCTGACAGCTTGCCAGGAATCGGCCGAACTAGCACCGTGCTTTGCCAGTTATCAAGAAGCACGTCAATGCCTGCGAGACAAGGCCAAGTCACGCGGCTTTTGGCCGTTGGGAAGTGGCAAGGGACGCACCAAGGGCAAGAAAGGGAAATTTGGGGCACCAAACAAGGGCAGCATGAGCACCAACCAGCAGGCCAACTTCCATCGTCGTAGCCTGCGGACAGCCCGGACATTGGAAGAGGGAGTGTCCCCTGTCCACAACATCCTCTTCGTCAGCTTCAATCAGCAGCTTGGGAGCCAAAAAGAACTATGAGAACGAATCCTTCACGGGCATCCTTCACGAAGAGGAACATGGGACTTCCACGGAGTTTGGTGATGATCTGAAATGGGGCGTCGACGTCGTCGAAGAGCTTCCAGAGGAGGCAGTGGCGTATGAGGAGGACGGGAATCCAAAGGATCAAATTTTGAATAGACCTCAAGGGGATTGGATAAATGGAGGTGACCAAATTGGGAATTTTGATGGGGTTGTGTATGATTGCCTAGTGAGTGTTTCTGCATTGACACGATCCCTCACGTCATGTATCACCACTCGACCAGCACCAGACCTGCTGCAGAGACCACTCCACCACCCAATTCTCCAAGGGAGGAAACATCTCAGACAAATGCCCAGGTGGCTCCCACATCTCGATCTCAAATGCAGTGCTGAGGGGACTCAAGGGGATCATAGATGTAGAGGGGTGTTATCTGGGTTTTAAGGGGAGTGATGTCTGGATCCCTTTAACAATGGTGCGTAAGAATCTGATGAGAATCAAAATTGTCGAGTTGTTGCAGAAAGCCCCAAAAGTGAGCGCGTCACGAACAGACACCCTCAGTGCACACACACGGAAACGACCGAAACTGAGAAGATCAAAGAAACCCACCAAACGCATGAAGTCCTGAATCATGGGCGAATTCAACATGACCTGCTTCCTAAGGAAGAGGTTGTTAATGTGGTCCAAGGTAAAAGTTCAGAGCAAATATCCACCACCGTGTCAGCAGCCGTGTTGAGTGACCCTGAAAGTGGAGTTGACTACATATTACTTCGGAGTGCTGAGCATCGAGGCCAGGAGTGCGTTGCCGAGCTATCTGGATCGTCAGCTCACGACACCAACCGACGGGAACCTCCAGGTGAATCAGAAGCACGACGAGTTTCCCACGGTGTTGACGCGTCCTCCAGGCATCAACACGTTGACAGACTGGGGACGAACCAAGGCTCCATCGGGCAAGCATGCGACTCGAACCTTCGATAGAAATGGACCAGGTTGACTATATTCAGAAGATTGAACCGATTGATGTTGGTAGGTCTCGTAGGTATCAACCAGAAGCGGAAGTAACAGAAATGGAGCGACAGCATCTCAGGAGACTATATGCGGCAGTCTCCAGTATGCCGCAGTGCACACCCGACCGGACCTGTCAGCCAAAACCGGACCTGTCAGCCAAAACAGGTCTACTTCAATCCATGGTGACCAAGGCGAAGGTGAAGCATCTGTTGAGAGCCAATAAGGTTTTGATGGAGGATAAGAAGCATCCAGTATGTCTTATGATGGCTCCCATCCAAGAAGAATTGGTTGCCTTTTGCGCTTTCTCTGATGCTTCCTTCTCCACTTCAAAAGAATTGTCCTCTCGCAAGGGAACGCTGATTTTTGCAACCGATGTCAAGTTGGCTCGGAATCAGCGGACAGTAATGTGTCCTGTTGCCTCGAGTTCAAGAAGAATACCTAGGGTGGTCACCCCCACTTTGAGGGCAGAGTCAATTGCTTTGAGTTCATCTCTGGACCGTCTAGGGTATATCAGGGTGTGTTGGGAATGGCTGAAAAATCCGTACATTGACTGGTCTGATCCAAGTCAACTATTGAAGAGAGCACCATTGGCCAGCGCAGTACAGTATAACTGATTGCAAAAGCGTCTACGATATAGCGACGAAGAACGCAGTCCCAACATGCGCCGAGCACAGAACCACCCTAGAGTGTCTATTAATTCGAGAGCGTTTGCAAGAAAATGTGGCGATGCATTGGATAAGCACTCAGGCCATGCTCGCTGACTGTTTAAACAAGAGTATGGATGCAAGCATGTTGAGGGAATGCTTACAATCGGGTCAGTAAATTTGATGAAGGTGACAGCTTGCACCTGAGAGCTTCGAAACGAGAGAAACTTCAATGGCTACGTGACGCATCCAAGGACAGGGGCATAGATGAGAGTAGAGGTGAACAGAGTTATTAAAATTTTGGATTTTGATGAGTGCGATTTTTCGAACACTTCTCATCCATGCTGAACCATGTGAGCCATCAACTGTGCTGCATCTCGCGGTCCGTTCGCACATCCTTTTATCTTCCACATCTATCCACCAACAGAGGTGGGTGGGTGAGGATTGAGCCACAGGCATTGCTACGGAAAAGCCAGGGGCTGGTGAGTGTTTGGGACAACACAGGCAGGAGGCACGGGGTGCTTCATTGGTAAAGGGTAAGAATCCCCCCAGTAGATTCGCAATGTATGTATCTATGTATGTGTGTATGTATGTTTGTGTGTATGTATGTATGTATGTATGTATGTATGTATGTATGTATGTATGTATGTGAGTATGTATGTATGTATGTATGTATGTATGTACGGATGGATGGATGGATGGATGTATGTTTGTCTGTCTGTCTGTATGTATGTATGTATGTTTGTATGTATGTATGTATTTATGTATGTATGTATGTATGGATGTATGTATGTATGTACGGATGGATGGATGGATGGATGTATGTTTGTCTGTCTGTATGTATGTATGTATGTTTGTATGTATGTATGTATGTATTTATGTGTGTATGTTTGTATGTATCTATGTATGTGTGTGTATGTATGTATGTATGTCTGTATGTAGGTATGGAGCTAAGGATCCCTGTAAGTGTATGTTCGTATGTATATATGTATTTGTATGTATGTTTGTATGTACGTATTTGTGTATGTATGTATGGATGTATTTATGTATGTATGTGTGTATGTATGTATGTGTGTATGTATGTATGCATGCATGTATGTGTGTTTGTATGTATTTATGTATGTATGTATGTATGTTAGTATGTATGCAAAAACGTATCTATGTATGTGTATATGTATGTTTGTTTGTATGTATGTATGTATGTTTGTTTGTCTGTCTGTATGTATGTATGTATGTATGTTGTATGTATGTGTGCATGCATGTATATATGTATGTATGTACGTACGTATGTATGTCTATTTATGTATGTATGTATGTATGTGCGTATGTGTGTATGTATGTATGCATGCATGCATGTATGTATGCATGCATGTATGTATGTACGATGAGTGTATGTGTGTGTGTATGGATGCATGCATGTATGTATGCATGTATGTATGTATGTATGTACGATGAATGTATGTGTGTGTATGTGTGACCGGAATGAATGAATGAATGTATCCATGTATGTGTGTATGTATGTGTGTATGTATCTATGTATGTGTGTGTATGTTTTTGTGTATGTATCTATGTATGTGTGTGTTCGTATGGGTGTACTGACCTATGCATGTATGCATGTGTGTAAGTATTTATGTATGTGTGTGTAAGTATGTGTCTTAAAATGGAAGTATATATGCCTGTATGTATGTTTGTGTGTATGTATCTACAAATGTGTGTATGTATGAAAGAATGTATGTGTGTATGTACGTGTGTATGTTTAGGTATGTATGTATCTATGTATGTAACTATGTATGTGTGTATGGATGTATATATGTATGTGTGTATGTATGTATGTATGCATGTATGTATGTATGTACGCACGTGTGTATGTATGTATGAATGATGTATGTATGTGTGTATGTATGTATGCATGCATGCTTTTAAGCATGCATGCATGCAAGTATGTATGTATGTAAGTATGTGTATTTATGTATGTAAGTATGTGTATTTATGTATGTGTGTATGTACGTATGTGTGAGTATGAATGTGTGTATATATGATTGAATGGGTGTATGTGTGTGTATGTATGTATGCATGGATGTATATATGTTTGTTTGTATGTATGTATGTGTGTATGTATGTTTGTTTGTCTGTATGTATGTGTGTATGTATGTTTGTGTGTATGTATGTATGTTTGTATGCATGTATGTATGTATGCATGGATGTATGTATGTTTGTATCCATGTATGTATCTATGTATGTATGTATGCATGTATGTATGTATGTGTGAATGTATGTATGTATGTACGTACGTACGTATGTATGTCTATTGATGTATGTATGTATGTATGTGCGTATGTATGTATGTTGTATGTATGTGTGCATGCATGTATATATGTATGTATGTATGTACGTACGTATGTATGTCTATTGATGTATGTATGTATGTATGTGCGTATGTGTGTATGTATGTATGTATGTAAGTATGTATGTATGTATGTTTGTGTGTCTGTATGTAT